CTAAGCACCGCTGGTCATGGCCCCAAAACAAACAAAAACTTAGAATTTCACGAAATCATAAAGAGTGAATCTACTAATTGTGGTGAGTCAATATTACCTACTTCCCCCCCATTCATCAAATACATATGTGATACTATAGAGATATTGTGAACCATTGGGAAACTTTTTTTTTTATAGAGATATTGTGAACCATTGGGAAAGTTTGTTCAAGGATACTGACTGTTTCTTCAAGAAATTTTGTCTTGGGGACAGCCACATGTTTAGTTGGGGATGGGAATGACTGTTCAGCTACTTTTGCTGGATAATATGCACACAATTAAGCCAAGTAAATGTGTCTTGCAATTACAAGGAACACAAGACATCATGGTTTTGCACATTTGTCTAATTGTATGATGACATGTACTCTAGTTTTAGTCTCAACATCATTTTGCCATGTTGTAGATAATTATTTGTACAAAGACTCATGCTCAATAATAAAGTCTTAGGCCTGGTTGTCCAGAAGAAAGATAAGACAGAGGCTTATCTTAGCAAAAGGAATTTCAGGGTCTATTTTTTGGTTATTTCTATCTCTACCAGACTTCTAGTGAGGCCTGCAATCTTATTTCTCTAGGTCTTGTTATTATTTACCACAAAAACTTGTATGATAAGATTTAATTCTCCAAAATCATATGATATTTTAAGGTTGTTCAAAACAAATTTTGAAATACTCTGATATAAATAAAAGCAAAGTACTTTGCACCTTTGCTTAATTTTAAATTAAATTTATATTTAATTACAAATTATCTTACTTTCCTGCTTGATAAACATAACAACAATGAAAATATCTTAAAATATAAACAAAGGAAAATGTGCTGTTTTAGAAGTTTATAAACAAAATTACAAAAAATAATTTTACATTAAGTTTTATAAATAGTATTTCAGTTATACACATATAAGAATTTTTAGTAGGTCTTATCTTTCCTTAGAAAAATTCTAATGTCATTTAACTTTCTTTCTTTTTTTTTTTTCTTTTTGGGTCACACCCAGCGATGCTCAGGGGTTACTCTTGGCTCTACACTCAGGAATTACTCCTGGCGGTGCTCAGGGGACCATATGGGATGCTGGGAATTGAACCCAGGTTGGCCGCATGCAAGGCAAACGCCCTACCTGCTGTGCTATTGTTCCAGCCCCCATAATTTTCTTTCTTTCTCTCTTCCTTCCTTCATTCTTTCTTTCTCTTTATTATTTAGTGAGGCAAATAGTTCCTTCTCCCCCCTCCATCTCTTTCTTTTTTGTGTTTGGATCACTTCAGTCCTGATGAAGCAAAGAATTTTGTTTAAAGAAATTTACTTAGAGAAATGTAAGGGGGGAGGAAAGGAGAGGTACTTATTTAAGAGAGCATACAGGAGCTGGAGAGACAGTACAGCACGTGGGCCACTTGTACTTCAAGTATCTGACCTAGGTTCTATTCCTACCACCCCCATATGGTCCTCTGAACCTTGCAAGGAGTGATACCTAAGAACTGAGCCAGGAGCACCACTGAGCACCACTGGGGTCCCTTCCTCCTCGGCTCCCCTGCATACATATCCTTCCTGTTAGTACTACATCCATGATCTTTGCTGCATACATACATATGTATGGTTTGGCTTATGGCTAAGTTACATGTGTACAAATGCATGTACTTTCATCTTACTAGGACATGAGGACAGTGGGAGCACTGGATTGCCACCAACAATTTTTGGCACTAATGGAAAAGTAGCAAGTTCATCCCCCTTTTCAAGGACCTTTTCCTGTTGTTGTTTACAGACTATTATAATCACCATACCCAGTAATCACCATAGCTGAGAAAGCAGTAACACAGGCAATGCCTTTAAGATCAAGTCACTTAAAAAAAACATTGTATGTGGGTCATCCCTTGGCCAATTTGGGACCAGTAAGAAGTTGTTATACTGGTTCCTTTAAATAGCACTAAATCTAACCTGATTCTAAGAGAGTTTCCAAAATATCAATGCCTCCAAAAATCCAAAAGTTTAACCTTTAGCCTTTCCTTCTCAATACTTTTTCACCTCTGGTAAAATTCTGTCTCCAGCCCTAATTTCTCATGAACTTCATTTTTCTGCATAAGTATATAGAATTGCCTGCCCTCAATATACGTAACAAGCATATGAGACCTTTATCTTAATATGTACCAAGCACATCAAACAAAATAAATGACCATTCAGAATTGTTTAAGCCCCCAATCTAGTAGGTATTCTTGATTCCTCTATGAACTTATTAAGCCCTAAACAAGTGTTTTTTGGTTTTGCTTTCAACTGTACTTGATTCTGAGTATTCCTGATTATCATTACAATTTCAACCTGTCACTATCATTCAACTCCCCTGAACTATTGAGATTTTTATCTTCACAGTCCATTCTTCATCTCATTTACCTGCTTAAGACTTTAAGGTTTTTTCATTGCAATGATATAAACTTAAGATGGCTAAATACTGCCTCCTGACTTGATTTACCTTTTTAAATTTATCATCTTTGGGGGAGCACATTCAATGATACTCGGAGGTTATTCCTGACTCTGCACAGAGGAATCACTACTGGTGGTGCTTTGGGGACCATATGGTGGCATACTGGGGATCAAACTTGTGTTGGCTGTGTGCAAGCAAGCACCTTACCTGCTGTACTATCTCTCCTGCCCATTTTCCTTTTCAACCCCCACCCCCGCCCACCACACACGCGCGCGCACGCATGCGCGCGCGCACACACACACACACACACACGCACACAAACTTTTTCCTTAACATTGTCTTCTTTGCTCGGCATGCTTTAGGAACATAGGTCCTTGTGACTTCTAAATGATGTAAAATGACATCTACTTTGACAGGAATGGACAGACTTGGGGTTTTGAGACAATTGGTGAATATTTCAAAGAGTTTCCTAGAGTGAAAAGAACAACTTAGAAAAATGTAACGGGATTGCTTAATGGTTTGAAGGGTTCAGCGTGCTTAGTGATGGTAAATAAGTAACAATGCTAAGGGTTATACAAATTTCTCCAATAGTGGCCAACTGCTCCACTAATTGAGGGCAAGATATAAAAAATAGAGTTCATTAGAGGTAGGGGTAGGATGAAAAGACAGGGCAAACGAGGTTAGGGTAGAGGCAAGTGCTACTGAGTTTTCCCAACAGGCACATAACATTATGGATAGAGGGGAGGGAAGAGGGATGACAAGGTCTTAGTTACCCCAGTAGAGTAGTAAGTAGCGCTGTAGCACTGTCCTCCCGTTGTTGATCGACTTGCTTGAGCAGGCACCAGTAACGTCTCCATTGTGAGACTTGTTACTGTTTTTGTATCGAATACATCACGGGTAGCTTGCCAGGCTCTGCCCTGCGAGGGAGATACTCTCGGTAGCTTACCCGGCTCCCCGAGAGCAGGGGGAGGAATCAAACCCTGGTTGGGGTCAGCTGCGTGCAAGGCAAACGCCCTATTTGCTATGCTACCGCTCAAGCTCCGGGGTAATAGTAGAATTGCTAAATGGAAATAATCAAAGGACCAAGCAAGGATGGTAAAAGGTTTAGTTTGAAAATCCTGAGGGTTTTTTTGTTTTTTTTTTTGGAGAGGGGCGGCATAGCCTGGGGGGTCCAGGGGCTGTTCCTAGCTCTGTGCTCAGGTAATGATCTGTGGGAGCTGGAGATTCCAAGTGGGGTTTGCCACGTGCAAGGCAAGCGCCTTAACTCCTCTACTATCTCTCCAACTCTGCATGCTAATTTTCTTGTGTATGTGTGTGTGTGTGGGGTGGGGGTAGGAGACTGGGGGACAAGCACACAGGGCAGTGCTCAGGGATCACTCCTGGCGATGCGTCAGGATTCCTATGCGTGCAGCTTCCCCCGCACGAAGGGCCAGCGCCCCTCCTGCTCTCTCTGCCCCAGATCACGCCTTATGAAGCACGGCTGTGATCGCTGTCCTAGCCGACCCAGCGGCCGCGAGTTTCGCAAAAACATTGGGCCAAGTCGTTCTGTGGCCTAGGCACAAAGCGGGTCCTGTGTCTCCACCGGGATGGGGGTCACGCACGAAGCTCTCCTGCCGTGCTCCGTTAGGGAAAACTGGGCCTGCAAACATGATCAAGCTCTAAGCAAGTGCTCAAGAGCCGGGTTCAAGAGATGCTTCCCCCCCACCCCCCAGCAATGACGTCACTAAAACTTGAAACCCACGAGCCACGTGTCCCAGGGCCCAGAAGCAAACCGACCACCTGCCTAACATGCGGGCCCCTTGCCCCCCACCCCCACCCCCTGCACATCGGAGGTTCCACAGGAACCAGACTTCCACGCAGTCGCCCCGGCAACGGGAATCTCGGCCGCACAGCGGAGAACTCCCCGGGGTGGCTCCGGGGCGGGAGCCTCCGGGGGTGGCCCGGTCCCTTCCCCACGGGAGCGCCGAGGGCGCGAGCCGATGGCTGCGGAGTCACGGCCCGGCCTCCCCCGGCCTCCCCCGGCGCGACTCCGCAGCGTCACGGCGGGCGGCCCCGCGCCCCGGGGCGACGCCCGCCCGGCTCGGCCGCCCGGGCTGGGCCGCGGGGCCGGGCCGCCGGGGTCTCCGGGCGCCGCGCGCAGGGGCGGCGGGCGGGGCGCGGTGACGTCAGAGTGACGCGCCGACGCAGCGCGGCGCGGTGACGCACGCCCCTTTGTTGGCTCAGTAGCGGCAGCAGCGGCCGAGGAGGTGGCGCCGGGGACTGTTTTCTCTCGGAGGCCGGAGCGGAGCCGCGTCTGAGTGAGGCGGGCGGCGAGCGGCCCCCTCGCGCCCTCCGTCCCTCCCGCCTCCGCCGCCCTCCCCGCCGCCGCCGCCCGCCGCCAACCGCCAACCGCCGCGCCCGGGGGGAGCCGCGGCCCGCGGGGCCCGCAGCCAGGCCCGCGCCGGGACCTCCCGCCGGCGGGCGCCGCGGGAGCGAGAGCCGGGCCCGGCCGTCCCCGCCCTCGCCGCCGCCGCCGCCCTCGCCGCCGCCGCCCTCGCCGCCGCCCTCGCCGCCGCCGCCGCCGTCGCCGTCTCCGGGGCCCGCGCCGGCCGGCGGGGCGGCCCCGCGCGCGTCGCACCATGGACTCGGACGAGGGCTACAACTACGAGTTCGACGAGGACGAGGAGTGCAGCGAGGAGGACAGCGGCGCCGAGGAGGAGGAGGACGACGACGACGACGAGCCGGACGACGACAACCTGGACCTGGGCGAGGTGGAGCTGGTGGAGCCCGGGCTGGGCGTCGGCGGCGAGCGGGACGGGCTGCTGTGCGGGGAGACGGGCGGCGGCGGCGGCGGCAGCGCGCTGGGGCCCGGCGGCGGCGGCGGCGGCGTTGGCGTTGGCGGCGTTGGCGGCGGCGGCGGCGGGCCGGGCCACGAGCAGGACGAGGACTACCGCTACGAGGTGCTCACGGCCGAGCAGATCCTGCAGCACATGGTGGAATGCATCCGGGAGGTCAACGAGGTCATCCAGGTGAGGCTGGCCGCCGCGCCCGCCGCCCCGGCCGCCCCGGGCCTGGCGGCGCCCCGGCTGGCGGCGCGCCGGTGGGCACGGAGGGCGGCGGCGGGCGACGTTGGCCGGGCGGCCGGGCGGGCGGGCGCGGGGAGGTGCTCGGGGGCGGCGCTTCCCGGGCGCGGCGATGGCGGAGGCCGCCCGGGCCGCCCGGGCCGCGGCTGGCGGGCGGGCGGGCGATCGCGGCCGCTGCCCGGGCCCGGCGTCCTTCCCGCCGCGGACGGAGGGCGGAGGGCCGAGCGGGCCGGAAGCGGGGGGCGCCTCGCCGCCGGCGCTCGGGGCAGGGCCGCGAGGCCCCGGAGCGGCCCGGTGTTGGGTTGCCCCCGGCGGGCACCGGCTAGGGCCGAAATGGATCCGCTTGGCAGGCCTAAGTGCCCGCCTGCGGGTGGGGGGAAGGGAGCGGCTTCTCGGAAGCGGTGCCGATGGGCTCGCCGGCCTCCGCTTACGTCTCTGCCGGTCGCCTCGGGACCTCGCCGCTCCTCCTCCCGGCGGTGCCCGCGGACTCGCTGGAAGGCGTTGGAGCCGTCTTGCGGGCCGCCGTGGAGCGGGTCGTGCCGTTGCGAGCCCGGCCTTGCAGCCCAGGGACGCGCGTTTTGTGTGTTCGCAAGGCGGAGGGGGCTTTCTCTGCTCGTTCTGGACGGCTTTTCCCCTTTCTCTCCGGTCGCTTCTGGTTCGTGGTCCGCAGGTCAGGCCCGGTGGCGGTTGGCGACTTCAGCTCTTTTAGCCTAGCGGCACCGAGTGTTGCCTTTCGGGACTTTGGGAAATCAAAGGTCTTCATTCGTTTGGGGGGAGGAGGAGGAGGAGAAGAGGGCCAGAGGTCCGGGCAGCAGTTGAGCAATGAAACTGCCGTCCTGATTCGCCGCGATTTTTCGGGAAGCATTGCAGTAGTTACATGGAAGGAGCAAGTTAGTTACCCTTGCATACTTGTCAGTGACTTCCATGGCGGTTACTTTTTTTCTTCGCTTGATATTGGTCGGCGACTGGTGAATTGGCAGTAAGTCATTTCATTGCTTTTGCGTTGAGCTCGTTACGATTGACAGATTCTTAGTAAGTGGCGCTCTATTTTGAATATTGACCCGTCTCTTTAAGAGACCTATCTGAAATTAGTTGCTTGATTTTTTTTTTTCCTGATATTCTTGGGTTTTTGTTTTTTTTGATTTTCGCTTGTTTTTCATCTGGGGGCCGCATCGGGCGATGCTAGGGCTTGCTTCTGGCTCTGAACTTACGGGATTACTTGTGGCAGGGCTCTCGAGATCTTATGGGATGCTGGGAATCAAGCCCCTGGTCTGCCAGGAAAGGCAAGGGCCCTGCCTGTGCTGAACTGTGTGTCTCTGGCCCCATGGCACCGTGTTTATAAACCAAACTGCAAAGTTCAAGCTTTCGTAGATAAGTTTTAGGAGATAATGCAGTTTTAGGGAATGAGACAGTTGTGGAAGGTAGATTTTACTGCTCTTTCTGAATTTAGAAATGATTCAGAAATATTTAGAAATGGTTGGGTTCTGTGGTCACTGAATTGAGCGCTTTCTTTTTGAGACAAAAACTTTTAAAACCTTGAATTGTTTTTATTTACTACTACATAAAAATGTTATGTTTTCAAATGCATTTGTTTGTTGGCATCTTAGATTTGTCACTTCACAGGTGTGGCTACTGCACATGATAGTATTCTTTCTTTGTTAGTTTAGGAGAAAGAATAAAGTTAGATGAAAAGAACATATATTCAATAAGGATTTTTTTTTTTTAGTGTCCTGCTTTCCCCATGTTTCCATGCCTGCTTTTTGAAAAGTTTTCTAGTATGTTATTTTATGTTAAGGATGCTCTGGATACAGTTATTTTTTTGTTTGTTTTATGTATTTTTTCATTTTTATTTTTTGGTAACACCCATTGGTGCTCAGGATTGACTTCTGGCTCTGCATTCAGGGATCATTCCTGGTGGGGCTCTGGTGATCAGATAGGGTGCTGGAGACAGAACCCCAGGTCAGCTGTATGACGCACCCTACCTACTGTACTGGTCCCCCAAATGTTCATATCTCAGAATATTAGTAAAGTATAGGTTGTATCTCTTACCTCAGAGGCCTTTTCTCCAAATTATACCCTTACTAGCTTTAAACTGTTGACTGTGTTATAGGTTATGATGGTAGATTTAAACTTTAAAAGTTATGCAGCACAAATATTGTAAGAGGGGAAAAAAATTCCTGCCAACCGGAGAGATATCCCTAAAATTAGCCTTAATAGATTTTTACTAACAGAATTATTGTGTGCGTAATTTGTTTTCAATAGAGACAGGTAGCAAAAACAGTGAATCTTAGTAACTTTTCCTCAAATACTCTGTGTGCATACAAAACTTGTCTTAAATCAGTCTGTCGTTGGGCTTCCCTTTTTTTTTTTTCTTTCTTTCTAGTTTCTGGCTTTTATAAATTTAGTGTAAGAATACCCTCACAGATAAGTCTTTGAATAGTTTAATATATACGTATATATTTCTTTATTTGTTCGTTTTTGGGCTATACCCGGAGGTGCTCAGAGCTTAACTCCTTACTCTCTGCTTAGGGATTGATTACTCCTGGTGAATCTCTGGGGACCATATGACTTGCCTGGGATCCAACCCAGGTCTGCAGGGATCTAAAACATGTTGCAAGGCAGCTGTTCTACCTGCTATACTGTCTCTCCAGCTCCTAACATTTCCTTAAAGTAAAGGTTGCTGAACCAAAGGATTTTCTTATTTTTGTGGTATTATTTAAGTATCACACAATGCTTTCAGAAAAATACCCGTGTTTGTTTCATCATTAATGCTTGATTGGATATAACAGTTAGTAGTGATTATTTTCTTTCCATACTGATAGTAAGATCAAAGTTTCAATATGTTTATGTGTATGGGTATTTCTTTTATAAGTTGCCTGTTGCTTTTGCTCATTATATATCCTACATTGGGATATTTCTCTTTTCATGATTACGTTACCAATGTCCCATCCTTATGCTACTGGAGATTGAGGAGATTCCCAGAGTCTCTTAGATGCTAGGCAAGTGCTCTACCACGAAGCCATATATCCCTAGCCCTTATGAAATCTTATGGCACTTCAAATGTCATTTGTCTAGGTCTTTCTCCCTCTCTCCCTCCTTCTCTCTCTCTCTCTCTCTCTCTCTCTCTCTCTCCCTCCCTCCCTCCCTCCCTCTCTCTCTCTCACCTCTTCTCCCTTTCGCTTTTTGGGTCACACCAGGTGATGCCCAGGGGTTACCCCTGGCTCTGCACTCAGGCATCACTCCTGGTGTTGCTTAGGGGACCATATGGGATGCCGGGAATTGGACCCGGGTCAGCTATATGCAAGGCAAACACCCTACCCGCTGTACTGTTGTTCTGGTCCCATGTCTAGGATTTTTGATTAAAAATAAAGTAATCCTAGAGCTAGAGAGATAGTATAGCAGGTAAGGCACTTGATCCAGGTTCGATCCCAGCACAACTTACGGTCCCCTGAGAGCCCTGCCAGTTGTGATTCCTGAGCACAGCCAGGAGTAAGCTTGAATACCTTGGGGTATGGCCCCCTCCCCCAATTAATGTTGGTTTTAATGTGACAGGCTTTAAGATTATCAAGTTGAAACCTTGATTAGTTATTATTTTTGCCGTTTATTTCTGTTTATTATTAGCCCTTGAACATCACCTTTCTACATGAAATCAGATATATGTTACTAGTAAACTTAAATAAGTTTTCAGGAGAAAAAGATTGAAATGTAAATTGCCAGATTATTTTGAGTTTTGGGGCTGGAGCAATAGCACCGCGGGTAGGGCATCTCTCTTGCATGCGGCCAACCCGGATTCGAATCCCAGCATCCCATTTGGTCCCCTGAGCACCACCAGGAGTAATTCCTGAGTGCAGAGCCAGAAGTAACCCCTGTGCATCGCCAGGTGTGACCTAAAAAGCCAAAAAAAAAAAAATTATTTCGAGTTTTTCTTGGAATTTAATTGCTTTTTTTTTTCTTGAAGAGTGTTTATGGGCCTCAACAGATTATTTGCAAGTTCTAATCTGCACATACACATTCACACACATTGCCATGCCGCTGATGGTCAGAGACCTCAACTGGTGGTGTTGGGAGGCCACATGTGGTAACAGGGTTTTGAACCAGGGTCATGACTACAACTGTATGCAAGTCAAGTACCTTGACTTCTGTACTCTCTTCAGCCCAGGATTATTAATTTTACATTTAATACTATTTTTTGTTTAGGGGCCACACGTGGAGATGCTCAGGGGTTACTCCTAGCTCTGCATTCAGGATTACTTCTGGCAGGGCTTGGGGGACCATATGGGATCCTAGGGATTGAATCCAGGTAGGTCCTGTGCAAGTCAAGTGTCCTACCCATTGTACTACCTCTGTAGACCCAGATTATTATTTTTGATTTTAGACTATACCAACGATGGACAAATGCTTAAGTTAACACTACAGTTCTATACTGCGTACTACACTTTTGTGGAATGTATAAACATCTAATTTCTGTTCCTTCCATGATGTTTAATAAATGCTGGTTGTTAAATGCATGTGCCAGTCCTGTTAAAGAGCAGAGGATATGGTTTTTGTCTTTTCCTGGCAGTTTCGAGACCTTAAATTTTGCGTCTGGGTAGTTAAAAATCTAGAATTTACTATATTGGTCTTTTTAGGTCAATTAGAGTTCATTTAATGTCCTTCATAACCTCAATTGCTTGATGCTTTTATTATTGTTGTTATTATTAAGGAATTGAGTTCAGGGGCTGGGAAATGACAAGTTATAAAAGTGGAATTCATGTTTTGCATGTAGAGGCCCCAAATTTGATCCCCTAGCACCTAGAGTCCTCTGAACACTGCTGGGTGTGGCCCTAATGAACTGCCCAGCCTGAGCACTGCTTGGGAATTCTGGTGGTGGGGGGGGGGGGTGGTGGTGGCAGGGTGGTACGGAAAGAAAATGGTGCAAGAGGCCTGATAGTACAGAGGGTAAGGCA